ATATATATATATATATATATATATACATACACACACACACAAAATTAGCTTTCATTTTTATTGGGTATTTGAAAATTATTTTTCAAAATATTTTTATAACATTGTTAAAATGTTAAATTTGTCATAAATTCTCTATTTATTCACATTTGTCTCTAAATTCTCCCACTCACACTTTTTAATATCCCCTCAACAATTAAATTTATAAAAAGCCTGTTTTACCCCCACCTCACCCCCCCAAAAAAGATCTTGATAAACAGTTTCAGTTCATTTAGTATTTAGGTGCAATTTCTAATAATTTATAACAGTGTCAGTGCCCTCAAAACTGCTGTTATTAACATAAAGAGATAATTGAGTTTTTCCAAAATAGGTTCAATTTTATAATTTCAGAATTTTTACATCATGAAACAGCGAGTATGATAGTAGTTTAATTAAACATTATTAAAAACAAAAAGCTCAGAATTTTAAATTAGAGGCAGTCAGTTTGAAAGTTAATTATATAAACTTACACACACTAGTGGTGAAAAGTTTGGAATAATTACGATTTTTTTTTATGTTTCTGAAAGAAGTCCCTTCAAAAATACAGTAAATATTGTGAAATATTATTACAATTTAAAATACCTGTTTATTTGAATATATTTGAATATAATTTATTCCTGTGATGCAAAGCTGTATTTTCAGCATCATTACTCCGGTCTTCAGTGTCACATGATCCTTCAGAAATCATTCTAATACGCTGATTTATAATATAGTTAAAAAAAAAAAATATATATATATATATATATAGTATTAATATTAAAATATATATATTTAAAAATAATAATAAAATTTATGTTTACTTATATCAATTAAATCTTAATATTTAAGTACAATTAAATGTGAAACCCTTTTTAATTTAGCCAAAGTAGGTTTTTGGCCTTCAATGGAATATTTTGGCACAGTCCTTATATTTAAGTATAATGAACTTTTACACCCCTACCAGTAACTGGACTATTACTAATAATAAAAACATAAGTGTATATATATTGCCGTACCTCTCCGACAGATACTGAAAGGGCATGGACAATTTTCTCATGTGCCATAGCGACCACACTCTGTCCATTTATCTCAATAATTCTGTGGCCGACTCGCACACCGCCCCTCTCCGCAATACCTCCACGCATCAGACTACAGATCTGCAATTCAGCACCAGGACGACTGCGTTAGAATGAAATAATTCATGATACAACCAAAAAATCCCCTAACTATGATAAGCCAAGTTATTGTAATGAAAAAGACATCTTTTAGTCATGCATTAGACATTTGTGACCCTGGACCACAAAACCAGTCATAAGGGTACATTTTTCGAAATTGAGATTTATACATCATCTGAAAGCTGAATTAATAAACTTTCAATTGATGTATGGTTTGTTAGGATAGGACAATATTTGGCCGAGATACAACTAATGAAAATCTGGAATCTGAGGGTGCAAAAAAAATAAATATTGAGAAAATCACCTTTAAAGTTGTCCAAATTAAGTTCTTAGCAATGCATATTACTAATCAAAAATTAAGTTTTATTATATTTAGAATAGGAAATTTACAAAATATCTTCATGGAACATGATCTTTACTTAATAACCTAATGATTTTTGGCATAAAAGAAAGATCAATAATTTTGGCCCATACAATGTATTTTTGGCTATTGCTACAAATATACCCCAGCGACTTAAGACTGCTTTTGTGCTCCGGGGTCACATATGTTATTTTATGAGTGTAATTGTTTTCAGTGGAGTTGATCCTTGACACTTACTATGCCGTTCTGAACGCTGAAACCGAGCTGGAATTGCAGGTCGGGTCTCTTTATGAGGACAGTAGTAACAGGTGGGCAACTCACGACACTTAGTTTCACTTGAACGTGATTCTTCAGGCTCTGAAACACATGCATAGACACAAAACCGTGTAATACCACAATCTAATGACATGTATGTGTTGAATACATGCTTAGATATGTCAAAACCTTGATGATGCCCTGACAGGTGGCGAGCGGCAGGCCCACCAGACTGGTGTCGTTGACAGCCATGATCTGATCGCCCACATTGAGTTTGCCGGAGCGGGCGGCAGGGCCGTTGTTCAGCATGCAGGCCAAGATGACGGTGGGCAGGATGGAGCCCCAGCCCGACTCCACGATCACCACACCCAGCATCTCGCCCTTCTGCTTCTCTAGCTGAAGCTGAGTGCAGAAACATGATTAAAAATGAGGACAAATCCATTAACGACTAAAGAGTAAAGAAAGAACGTAGAGAAGTCAGAAAATACTGTAAAAAGAGGCACCAAATACTCCATTTATGAAATGAATATGGGGTGATGGGTGTTAATTGCTGTTATAAGTATGATTTTAACACCATGATGAAGTAGCGTGTGGCAGAATACCCTGCAAAAGTTTTAAGTCTTATGTGTTTTTTTTAGCATGGGGCCAGTGATAACCCAGTATTTATTACTGCCATTTAACGGTATTCATTGTGATCAACATACGCTGATAACTAGACTCACTTTTTGCACATTTTAGTTTTCATATGAATAAATCCTTGAGAGCATTTTGTAGTAAATATAGTGCTTAGTGTATTATTAATTAGAAATAATACAATACTTACATATAAAAATAAAATTATGACAATTATATAAAATGTATTTATATTTTCAAAAATATTATATGAATATATGTAAAATATTAAGTATATATTTTTTATAATAATAATTTATTTAATATATTCATAATTAATATAAAAAATTACATATAAAATAAAGATAAAATGCATTAATATTTTAAAAATACATTAATATTTTAAAATATGAAAAATATATAAAAATAAAAATATTTACCATTTATATAGTTATATAATTAATATTACTATCTTTTAAGTATTATATTTAATATTTTCATATATTGATATAAAATAATTTACATAATAGAAAAAAATATATATATTACATATTAAATGAAAAATACATCATATGTATGAAGATTTAAAAATATTATATACACACTGTATACACAAACACACACAGTAATTATGTACTATATCATATTATTTCTATATATTTAATATATTCATATCACTAATATAAAATAATTTATATAAATATAATATATACAGTGTATGTCTATATATACATACATTTATTTATGATTTTAACTGTTATAGTTACATACCTGTTAAATATATTACATTTATAATAGCAAATATATATATCGGCCCCCTAATCTCTATTCTATCACCATCAGCATTGAAAAACACATACAGGTAGTAGACAGGATAGTGGAAAGTGATAGGAATGCTTTAGGAAAGACTGGGATAGTGGGATCTGGAAAAGAGAGGCCAGACTTGCAGGAGCATCACAACACAATTGAGTTTGATGTCTGTGACACAAAGCAGCTACAATTCATAGCTGCTATGATGAAGTTTCCAGTGCTTTAATCACCTCTTTACAGTTTTCGGAATTGGAGAAATGGATGAGGTCGTCATTATACATCTCCTGTGTGTTCAGGATATCACTGTAGTCTTTCTGGCTGAGGTCCTTGGGATTGATCCCATTGGCTCGGAGGAACTCTTGGTAGGCCATGCTGAACGCCTGACCGATGGACTGTGCGATGAGCTGGGCCTGTGAGGGAGGAGAGGGAGGTGAAGCACTTAGCGAGAGGAGAATACTTGACGATGTGACGACATCTCAGAGCGAGAGAGTGCTTGAATCAAATCGAGAGGGCAGAAAAAAAGTCAAAACATGCAGTTACACGAGCACAACATGAACACAATGAAGAACAAATACAAAACTGAGTTATGAGCTACAAACCCACAAGGAATCTTTGCCTGTCATTCACACAGTCACACATGCATGCCTGTTTAGTCATTATTTAGGCTAATTTGATAATGCTACCAAAAACAGTGCTTGTTTACTAAATACTGATGTTAACTATTGTTTATTGAATATTAAATATTATATATTTGCTTGGTCAGATTTTGGGCTTATTTGATAATGCTTTCAGCTAACAACAATAGAGTTTATTTATTATATAGTAATGTTAAATATTTCTTATCGAATATAATATATTTGTTTAGTTTTTTTTTTTGCTAATTTGACCATTTGTTCAGCTACCAAAAATAGTGCTCGTTTATTAAATGCTGATGTTAAATATTGCTTATTGAATATTAAATATTACATATTTGTCTAGTTATTATTTAGGCTAATTTGAAATATTATATATTTGTTTAGTAATTATTTTGGCTAATTTAATAACGCTTTCGGCTACTGATAAGATTTTTAAATTAAATGTTAATATTGAACATTTGAATGTTACATATTATATATTTGTTTTGTAATTATTTGGGCTAATTTGATAATGCTTTTTGCTACCAGTGAAAGATTTAAAAAAAAATTAAATATCAATAGTTAATGAAATGAAATATGAATAAATGAATATTGCTTACCAAATATTAAAACATGTTTGTTTAGTAACTGTTTAGGCTAATTTGATAATGCTTTCAGCTACAGATAAGTGTTTTTTTTTAAATTAAGTATTAATAGTAAATATTACTTACTGAATAATAAATATTATATGTTTGTTTAGTAATCAAACTAATTCGGTAATGCTTTCAGTTACCAATAAGAGTGTTTATTACATGTTAAATATAGCTTATTCAATATTAAATATTACATGTTTGTTTATTAAATATTTAGGCTAATTTGATAATGCTTTCAACTAACAAGTGTGGTACTCTCAGCTCAGTCATTTTCCCATGCCTAAATCTATTAACTTAAGTTTAAATGCGTAAAATTCACAGAATTCTGCATTTCTGCAAACCTGCATTTTATTTTTTAATCATTGCATAAATGTGGAGAAAGTCAGAATATTCCATCTGGATTTTTGACTAATGTTATGGGCCGGGCTGTCCTTAGGGGGGTGCAACTGGAGCGGCCCTGGTTATGGGTACATATTATTAGTTAGAGGGTACCATCCAACACTGATACAAGGACAGATTTATTATGCAGTTTTGGATTGTTAGATTTAAGCTTAAGTGTGTAATTTCTGTGATAGTTGTGTGAAATACCTTGCAATTGCAAAAATAATGTAAAATTCACCAAACACCCAAACGGCCATAAGTTGAAAAAACAAACAAACAAACAAAAAAAAAACACTTAAGCTTTAATCTTTTCTTTATAAAATTAATTCATGGTAAACATTATTCACTTTCATTCTTATTATTGGTTATTATAAGAAAAGATCAATCTCACATCCTCTGACTCAAAGACGTAGCACATCATGCGGTACTGCTTCCGACTTTCTGTGCTGAGGCCTGAATCTGTGCAGTCGAGCGAGGAGGAGTTAGACAGACGCCTGCGAGCCATCAGGACCACCACGTCACCGATGTCTGCGATGTAGGAGATGGTGCGGAGGGCGTTGTCCATCATCGTCTCCTGTGAACAAGGATCAGGAGTCAGCCAATGAAAAGTCTGTTAGTGACAATTCTGCAACTTGTTCTTTAATGTAAATCCTGTTCTTGTCTTTTTATGGATGGTGAAGTGGAAAGCAACAGAAAAGAATTAGGACAGAAAGACCTAGAATTGGCACAGGCTGGATTCAAATCTGCATTCCCATTAAACCAGACTGTACATTTAACAAAACAGTATATATATTCATATCATTACCAATCTTAAATGAAATTTACCTACCTGTGTGTCAGCATTGAGCACCTTGATGGCCTTGGTTGAGATGAACAAGTCAATCTCTGTTAAACTCTGAGCTTCACCCTCTACAGACTGAAGAACATGGTTTCACAAAGGTTACAGTGTCATCTAGTGGACTGAGAGGGAACTTCTGACACCATTATATCCACAAAATATTAAACCATGAAGCACACTTCAAGTAACATTTACAAGAGCCTTACCAAGGCAGCAGAAATATTTTTGTGTGGAGAATCTTATAAAGTACCTTAACGCAGTCCAAAGCTTCCTGCGCTTGCTTCATGCGTACGCTTTTGGATGGGTTTCTGTCGGAGAGCACTTGGGTAGAGCCAAGGTAGTTTGCGGCAAAGATGATTCCATTGATGAGATCTTCTGGCTCACATGGACCAGGGACTGAAAACAAATGCAAAAACATGGATTTACAATAACTAATAAACAGTGCTGGGGAGAAACTAGTTACATGTAACAGCGTAATTTAATTGCAAAGTAAATGTAACTGTAATCCATTACGTGTATATCCAATATGTGTAATTATATTCCAGTAACTTATAAAATATTAACGATTACAAAGGGGGTTACAGTGCAACGTTTCCCTGTTTGCATTGTGCCTTTGTGTGATGGAACTGAATAAAGGGGGAAGGGGGTTACTTGTGTACTTGCATTAACCCAAATGTTTCGAAGAACGTTTAAATCCAGAGAAATAAGCAATTTTAACCAGTGACACGGAGCGTGTCCATAGTGTCACCTGCCAATGACATCATAACCCCTCGATTTCTGGTTTTGTAGAAAACATGGAAACACCAAAGACGCTTTAATATGTTGTGCGTTTTAATAGACCGATGACGACCGCACAGAGTAGCATTATAACAGAACTTTCAAATGTATCTAGTATGATAAAACAGCACTGCTTTACCCCACATATGCACGACCAGAAGGAGCGGAAGCG